TTTCCAGGAAAGAGATTCAAACATGGTTAGAGGGAATAGATGCGTACACGCTTCACAAGCCGAATTCGCCGAAAATTTCCAACGAATAGAGTAATCGTGTATTCTATAGATCAACAATGGCAAGCTGATTTAGTGGATGTTTCACATTTACGTGATCATAATGATGGTTATCGATATATATTAACCTGTATTGACATATTATCCAAATATGCATGGGCTGTTCCTCTGAAACAAAAGAGAGGAGAAGATATTGTGAAAGCGTTTCAAAAAATAATGAGTCAACGTAAACCAAAATTCCTTCAAACGGATCAGGGCACCGAATTTAAAAATAAAGTGTTTATAAAATTTTTAAAAAGAAATCAAGTTAAACTTTTCAATACATTCAATACTACCAAAGCATCCGTGGTGGAAAGGTTTAATCGCACTTTGAAAACAAAAATGTGGAAATACTTTACGACTCGAAATACGTATAAATATGTAGATGTCTTGGACAAATTAATAGAAAGTTATAATGCTACTTTTCATTCAAGTATAAAGCGAGCTCCCATAGAAGTCAATTCAGAAAATGAGAGTGATGTATGGTTTACCTTGTATGAAGATCATCCTTCTAACGTTTCTAAATGTATATTCGCTGTAGGAGATGTGGTACGTGTTTCCAAACTAAAGCTTACTTTCGAAAAAGGTTATGAAACCAATTGGACGGAAGAACTATTTGTGGTGACAGAGTGTGTTAAAAGACATCCAGCCGTGTATAGAATTAAAGATTTACTTGGAGACTCAGTAAAAGGAACGTTTTATGCACAAGAGTTGCAGAAAGTGAGACTGAAAGAGGAATATCGCATTGAAAAAATTTTAAAGAAACGTATGCGTAAGAAACAGACAGAATACTTTGTAAAATATCGCGGTTATCCCGACAAATTCAATCAATGGATTCCAGCTTCTAATTTACTCTCGATATAAAGTGTGAGAAAATACTGTATCCGAATCATTTGTGAAAATGAGTTTCTACGTAACACTTCCGAGCGATAGCTCTATGAATTATTTCCCCGAAAATAAAATTTCACATTTTATAACACGTTTACCTGTTCCCATTGAATTAAAAGGTATGTGGGAAGTTGGTTTGGTTGAATTGCTATATCCGCACACATGGCACAATGTGAATGCAGACAATAACTTAATTGGATTTGTTTTAGAGAAAGATGGTGAAATGTTAGGTCGTAGATTACCTCCAGGATGTTATGAAACAGTACCTGATATTTTAAAAGCTATTTATATTAAAGAACATCAAAACAAAATAATATTTTAATTATAACCCAGTAACAAAACGAGTGAAAATCAAAGTGAAAAATAACGCTAAAGTGATTTTACATGATGGGTTAGCACAAATGTTAGGTTTTGAACCTATGGAAATTACATCTACAGATGATAGTTCCGAAACTGTTGTAGAAAGTCCTTTTGCAGCCGACCCCTGTGCACATTATCGTGTATTAATGATATATACGGATATTGTAGAACCTCAAATCGTAGGAGATGTTTTAGCTCCTCTTCTTCGAATTGTAAGAGTAACTGGTAGCGATGGAGAAGTGGTGAGTGCACTATTTGATAGACCTCATTATTTACCTGTGAATCGGAAAATGATAGACACTTTGGAAATCGATATAAGAACGCATATGGGAGCATTTACGCCATTTGAACGAGGAAGGTCATACGTGAAACTTCATTTCCGTCAAAAATACTTGTCATAATGTATGTACCTTATCAGTGTTGTCAAAAATCTTTTGAAGATTATTATGTACAACAAACAGGACATGGATTGAATTATTATCAAGGTAATCTTTATCAGAGAGGATACGGATTAGGGGGTCTATTCAGATCCTTCTTTCGCGCTGCCGTACCTCTTATTAAATCAGGAGCCAAAGCAATTGGAAAACAAGTATGGCATAGTGGACTGAATTTGTTAAATGATGTATCACAAGGACAAGATGTAAAAGAGGCTGCTAAGCGTCGACTGAAAGAAGCCGGAAATATATTAACGGATAAAGCTGCTACTAAAGTGAAGAACATGATTGGTTCTGGACGAGTCAATAAAAAGCAGAAACGTAGGAAAAAGCGTACCATTTCTCACCGATCAAAGAAGGTGAAAGCACAGGATATTTTCTCTTAAAAAAAAAAGTATGACTTCGTATATTCATCGAGACTCTCCCGTTTGCGTCAAATCTGAATTAGATTTATTTACCATTCCTCCTACGCAAACAGCTATAGAAAAAGGACAGTTTGTGGAATATCACCCTCTCGCAAATATACGAGATGGAGGACCTATCGAATTTAATATTTCTGGCAGTGGTGAAGACTATATTGATCTAGCTGCTTCTTATATACACGTGAAAGTTAAAGTAGTTAAGGCAGACGGATCCAATCTAACAGACAAAGAACCGGTTGCCCCTGTAAATTTATTTTTACATTCTCTCTTTTCGCAAGTAGATGTAAGTTTAAATGAAAGAAACATTTCATCTGCGACAAATACCTATCCCTATAGAGCCTTCATCGAAACATTATTGAATTATGGGGAAGATGCAAAGAAAAGTTTACTCACCTGCGAAGGATTTTTCCAAGACACTTCACCTAATAAAATAGATGTCTTAGCTCAAGATGCGGATGCTGGACTAAAAGCTCGCGGTGAACTTATAAAAAACAGTCAAAGTGTGGATTTGATAGGACAATTACATTGTGACATTTTTCAACAAAATCGACTCATGTTAAATTTAGTTGATGTGAAAATTAAAATGGTGCGTAGTAAATCTGCTTTCTGTCTAGTTTCTACTGAGAAAGATGCCGATTATAAAGTGATCTTGGATCATGCTTCTTTGTTTATCAGAAAAGTAAAAGTAAACCCTGGAGTCTCTCTCGGACATGTAAAAGCGTTGGAAAAAAGTTCTGCTAAATACCCTATAGATCGAGTATTATGCAAAACATATTCAGTATCTAAGGGAAGTTGGTCTTTTATGCAAGATAATGTATTTTTAGGATTGATGCCCAAGCGAGTCATTATTACTTGTGTAGAAAATGCTGCAATGAATGGACAATATTCAATGAATCCCTTTCTGTTTGCCCATCATCATGTCAACTTTATATCGATTTATGTAGATGGACAACCCGTTCCATGTAAACCAATGGACCTTGATTTCGAATCTAATCATTATGTGCGTGCTTACCACAGTTTATTTTCTGGATTTAATCGCGACAAAGGCATCTATTTATCTCGAGAAGAATTTGTGAAAGGACATGTGTTATATGCTTTCGATTTAACTCCAGATATGTGTGATGGATCTCATTTTAACTTACAGCATCAAGGCAATTTGCGAGTAGAAATTAAATTTGCTAAAGCTCTCTCTGTGACTCTCTCGGTGCTAGTCTATGCAGAATTTCAAAACGTGATTGAAATAACAAAATCTCGTCATGTACTATGCGATTTTGCTAATTAAGCAATGGACAGCCTTGAAATAAACAGAGCACTCTCTCAGAATGCAAAGACACGAAAAGCATTTCTGGGAGTTTTTGCAAGTGATCGACTCCCTATCGAGATCAAGAAATATCCAAGTTGCTTTATAGCTAATGTAGATCGTGCATCTGAATCCGGTAGTCACTGGTTAGCCTTTTACATTTCATCCCCACAGCATTTAGAATTTTTCGATTCCTATGGACATGACCCATCCTATTTTCCTGGACCGATAGCCAAGTATGCAGAACGATTTCCACAGATGGACTTTAATTCGATGACTCTCCAAACTAATGTAACAGCAGTATGTGGTCAATATTGCATATACTATTTACATTGTAAATGTCGTGGACAATCTCTCAATGATATATTGTTATCTTTCATACCTCAACATATATCTAATGATATTAAAGTATATAATTTTGTAATCAAGAAATTTCATGTAAGATCTTCTTTCTATCAATAAATACATTTAAACTTTATACATTATGTGTCTTGTCTCATTTAATATGGAATTTCCAAAGCTACAACATCCTTTCACAATGGTGATTTCGGGACCCACTGGATGTGGGAAAACCTATTTTGTACGAGAACTGTTAAAGTATAAAGAGGAAATGTTTTCAACGATTCCCGATAAAGTAGTATGGTGTTATGGAATTTACCAACCTCTGTATAATGATATACCGAATGTTACTTTTGTCGAAGGTTTACCAATTAAATATCAAGAATATTTAGGTTCCAACACATTATTCATCATAGACGATTTGATGAGCGAATGTGGGAATGATAAACGTCTGACTAACTTATTTACAAAAGGAAGTCATCATTTAAATTTAAGCGTTATTTTTATCACACAAAACTTTTTTCACAAGGGAAAAGAAATGCGTGAAGTGACTTTAAATGCACACTATTTGATTTTGTGTAAAAACAGAAGAGATGTCAGTCAAATCGTACATTTAGGAAAACAGCTCTTTCCGCGTCATTTAAAGTTTTTTCAAGAAGTATATGAAGATGCAACCAAGAAACCTTTTTCTTATTTATTCATTGATCTGCGCAGTGAAACTCCGGAAGAATTACGTTTACGCACCCAAATTTTACCTAACCAAGTACAGTATGTTTATCAAATGAAACATTATTAAAAAAATAATAAAAACAACAGCTTTATAAAATGCATCATCATTTTATAAAATGACGCTGGTCAAGAAACAGCTAAGACAGTTACAGCTGTTAAACATTTGTCCGTTAAAGTTACGGAAACAGCTATTAAAGAAAATTAATATCAATTGCATAAAAGCTATATGCGAATGTAGTTTAAACATACTCAAAGGAAACGTTCCATTGTCAGAGCAACAAAAGAAGTCTCTCTGTAAGCATAAAACAACTTTACGAAAATTAGGAAATCGTAAGATTTCTCTTGTGAAGAAACGAAAATTAATTTTACAAAAAGGAGGTTTTCTAAACGTTTTGATTCCTGCTGCTCTCAGTGTTCTTACAGGACTAATCAATGGAGTTCACTAAGAAATATGTGTTAGTTCCAGAAGAGATGATGACAAAGCATACCATTTCTGATAAACAGTTAAGTGAATTGGATAAAGCCATGATGCATATTTTAAACAGTTCAGTTGACGATCGTGAGAAATTAGTGCGTTATTATGAACTTTTACAAAAGAAATTGAACTTAAAGGAATACAATTCACCCTTTAAACCTCCTAAAGACGACTCACAAAATTCTTTAGACGATTCAGCTGAGATGAAGAAAGTGAAAGAGGAAGAAGAAGCCCCCTCATCTGTGACAGACGGCGACAAACAGATGACTGTAACTGATTATTCTACTGTTATCTTAGACAGTGTACCTTTACGAATGAGAAGAAAAGCACAAAATGCATTAGCTATTTTAAAGCGACATCCTGATATTCTTAAGTGGAATGATAAAGGCGAGGTACTTTATCATAAGGAAAAAATTAAGCATTCAAATATTATAGACTTATTCAATATCCTTTTTACAACCAAAAAGAAAAAGATTAATATTCCTGCTAAAAACGAATTTTTAAAAGCCTTGACTGAAATCAACATGCCAATGGACTATATCAAAAATGAAAATTTACCTTGATCAGAATCATGATGTTAATACGAAAAAAAAAAAATTACGTGTTACATCTGTAAATTCTTCCCGAAAATGGGAACCTTATTAAATGAATAAAATGATTATATTTTAAATGTGACATATAGACTCTTTCTTCTCTCTACAATCAATATTTGTTTTACATCGTTTTTAAATGTTATGAAAAACATTCATTTCACCAAGAAGCTTTTACCTTTCAATACATTTATTTTCAAAGAATAAATTTCTGTATTATACATAAAATATACTTGGAATTTTCTTTCATTAGTTAATATCAAATTAACAGCAATATCCATTTACTGACATTTGATATACACGTTTGCTTTAAAATTAAAACTAAAATTTCAATATATTTCTATTAAAAACATAAGGAAAAAAAAAAAAAAATAGTCATAACATCAACCAAACACAGAAATTTAAATAGAATAGCTGTACTTATATCAATGCATTTTTATAATCTTCATAACATTTCGATTCAAAAAACCTATCACAAAATAAATGAACAATTTTTTCCTGCCTTAAAAAATCTCTTATATTTTTAAAATTAATACATAAAAATATATCTTCACCAATATAATTCATCAACACTTGTAATACATTCTTGTCTTGTCTTGTTTGGGAAGGACAGTCTATAAGGCGTCATTATATTATTGCGTTATCATGGTAAGATAGGTTAATGGAAAACTCTGATAATCACTGAAAACTTATTTGAAAGAGTTGTTATTCTTAAGTTTGACATTACTTATACATATATGCATAAGGGTAATCTTAAAAGCATCATCCACTTATCATGATAGAGTAATGGAAAATTTCTAAAACTCTGATAATCATATGTGAAAGAATGTATTATCTTAAGGTTGTTGTTGCTATTCCAAGTTTGACAATACATACAGAAGTGAAGGAAGATCCTTGATAAGCGTTGTAGACTTCACGTTATCATGATAAGGGTTAATGGAAGTTGAAATCGTATTCGAAAGAAAGGGTTATCCTGGTTCAGATTACACAAATCTGGAATGTTGGAGAACATTCTTTAATCCCTATAAAACGCTGTGTCAGAAATGGAAGAAGTCAGTTCGCTCGACAATCTCGGAAAGAGCAAGTCTTCCTGATTAATATTTTCTAAATTGAAAATGTCAACTTTTGAAAATGATGTTGCTGGAGATCTGATAATCAGTATGGTTCCGGAACATGTAAGTTTTTTTTTTTTTTATAAAATATTTATTTTTTTGCAAAAATTATTTTAGGGTGGATCATTCTTTCAGGACCTCTTATGTGAGGGAAAAGTTTTAAAATGGATTATTACAGATTAAGTTTTTCAGTTTGTTAGGTATGTTTTACATGATTTACGGTGTGAATTTTTAGTATCAGTGTATGTTTTGAAGTTTTAGTACCTCATTCGAAAGTTTAAACTTATAACGTGAACTTAGTTAACGCTGATAAATGTTTCTTGAAGAGGTATTGATATTTAATTACATATGTATAGTTGTGATTTTTGATATTACATTTTCAGTTTTATGTATTGCATATAATTTGCAAAGTTGTTGTGTTTTAAGAAAGGTAGCGGTACGGTATCAGAAAATGTAGTATGTTAACAATAATCCTTCTCCGTTACACGCTTAAGACATGAATGAATCTTAAATTCCGAAATAACTATGTTTCTCAGTACTTGAAATGCAACGTAAATCCATGTATACATTAAATGTTAGAAAAGAAAAAATATCGGTAGTTAGTTAAATATTTTAGATACACACTTTCTATTGAAAATATATTCTTGTTTTGGGGTAGAAGAATTCTATTTGTTATCTTTTAAGTAACGATACAATTGGCAATCTTGCTTTGTGACTTTAACCAGCTTTGCACACGTGACCCTTTTGTGAAGAGTTTCTACCTGATCATTATCAGCGATCGTTTCCGTATTTGTAAAGATTCTCACTTAACTGCTCGCTTTCAGGGTATTATTCACTTCATGTTTTTCCGTATCTTTGAGTTAAATGCGAAAGGATTTAAATCTTGAGGAAACTATGTTTAGTTATATCTGTTATGTTTAAGCGCGTTATGTGAAATAGTTGGGGTAGATGAGAAATTTTTATTACACTTTGCGTGACGCATATTTATATAATATGTAACATACACCTTGAAAAGATGTATACTTATAGGGTTCCCCTTTAATTTTCCTAGGTCTGTACCATCTGTTCTAAATTCTTTACCCGCAAGGAGAGTTTAACCAGACATATGAAAACTCATACCGGAGAAAAAAGTTTTACTTGCGATGTTTGTCAGAAAGCATTTGCAAGAAATTCTGACTTGAAACGTCATGCTTTGACCCATATCAAGCCTTCTAAAGAACACTCTTGTAATATTTGCGACCAAGTGTTCACTCAAAAGAGTGAATTGCTACAACATGTGCGCACGGCTCACTGCACTAAAAGGAAGGTCGATGCGCTCTATCGTCCCGTGAAAAAAATGAGGAAAGAAGGTGCTTTAAACGTATTTAGTGTACATACGTTTACACCCTCTGAGGAAAATGCGTCCGACTTTTTGTTATGTTTTGAAGAGATGCGCCCCCAAATTACATCAAAATTACAAGAAGAATTAGCCGACAAATCCGCTATTAAATGGTATGTCGTGGCAAAAGTTCATTTAACACGCACAACACGGGATGGGGAATTAGATGCTATTGCCCCCATTTCCGATCTAAATGTGCTATTGAATTAATGGAGGAAACTGTGGAAGGTCATGTGGAAGAGGGATTTCAAAAAATCCTAAAGTCCTTCGAAGCATTTACTCAGCGGGGATCGGGATGGATTCTCGATAAAATAAATCAATTAGATTTATGTGTGGCAAAATATCATCCGCTCGCCCCGAGTAGTTACATCCCCCTTCCCAAAAAGCTGGCTGATAAGAAAGCCATTTTAAATATCCAGAACATGGACTTAAAATGCTTCGTATGGTGCCTACTAGCACATAAAATGAAGATTCACTGGAAAAATAACCCTGAACGAGTTAGTCATTACATACCCTATGAAGCAGATATTAAATTAGGCAAGATCCAGTGTCCCCGTTCCAGTCACGAAAATACCAGTCATTGAAAGACTGAATAATATCCGTATTAACGTCTTCGGATATGAAGATGATGAAGTGTTCCCCCTCTATGTATCCCCTCAAGAAAATGAGGACTGTATTAATTTGCTCTACATTTCTAATGAAGGAGGCAGTCATTATTGCCTCATTAGAAATTTTTCGCGGTTAATGGGAGATTTAACACGTCATTAAGGCATGCACCTTTTACTGCTATCGCTGTCTCCACAGATTTTCAGAGGAGCGAAATTTAAAAAATCATATGAACGTTCTGCAAAGAACACTCACCGCAGCATATTAAAATGCCTTCAGAGGAAGATAAATTTCTTTCATTTAGAAATCAACATTTCCAACATCCAATTCCATATATCATATATGCTGACTTTGAGGCTATCGTCAAAAAAGTGCATACGTCGGAACCGAGTCATGCTACCTCATACACACAACCCATTATGAAGCATGAAGCTTGCGGGTACGCTTACATCATAATAGGTCCCGATGGCAAGAGTTTAAAACCTGCTCACGTGTATCGAGGATCAGATGCCGTAGATAATTTTCTGCAAAATATATCATCCGTGAAAAAGATGAACTTGCGGAAACATTAACTCACATCGTTCCATTAATTATGACACCACAACAAGAGCAGGACTTTTTAACGGCTACGATTTGCAATCTGTGTAAGAAGCCTCTTTATAAGGATCGCGTTCGCGATCACGATCACTTGACGGGACATTACAGAGGAGCATTACACAGTTTATGCAATCTGAAATATCGCTTGCAGAAAAAGATACCGGTGGTCTTCCATAATTTGAAGCATTATGACGCTCACCATATAATGCAGGGACTGGGAAAGATCGAAGACCATCAAATTGAAGTCATCGCTACGAATATGGAAAAATATATCACTTTTGCCCTTAGCAAGAAACACACAATAAGATCAAAGTTTCTTTACAATTCATCGACAGTTTCCAGTTTTTGAATACATCTCTTGAAAAACTGGTACAAAATCTGCCTGCAGAAAAATTCAACATTTTAAAGGAAAATGTAAGAGAAGGGGATCTTTCTCTTCTCTTGAAAAAGGGCATTTACCCTTACGATTACATCCAGTCCTTTGAGATGTTTGAAGAGACGGCGTTACCACCTCCTGCCGCCTTTCACAATAGTTTAACGGACGAGGAGATTTCAGCGTCAGATTACGAACATGCACAGGCAGTATGGAACAGCTTCAACATCCGTACAATGGGGGAATATCACGACTTGTACGTGAAATCAGACGTTTTACAACTGGCAGACGTATTCGAAAATTTTAGGAAATTGTGTTTGCAATTTTATGAAATCGATTGTGCTCATGTAATGACATCACCCGGTCTGTCCTGGCAAGCATGTTTAAAAATGATTGAGCAGCCTCTAGAACTTTTAACCGATGTAGATATGCATCTCTTCATTGAACAGGGGATACGAGGGGGAATTTCAGTGATTACAAAGCGGTGGGCGCAGGCAAATAATCATTATATGCCAAATTACGATTCAACAAACCCAGAGAGCTATATCATGTATCTAGATGCAAATAACCTGTATGGATGGGCGATGTCGCAAGCATTACCCTATGGCGAATTTGAATGGATTTCTGCGGAAGCTGTAACCCCTGAATGGATTCTTTCCATTAGTGAAAATTCAACAGAAGGTTATATTTTAGAAGTTGATTTGGAGTATCCTCCTGAACTACATGACGCTCATAATGATTATCCTCTCGCACCTGAAAAGTTAAAAATTAATTTAGAAGATCTTTCTCCTTTCTCTCAGAAACATCCTCCCCTATCAAAATTTCAATAGCCAAATTAAATTAATCCCCAATTTGAAGCATAAACAAAATTATATTGTGTATTATAAGAACTTACAATTTTATTTAAAGGAAGGTTTGAGATTGACTGCCGTACATAGGATTTTGAAATTTAAGCAGAAGGCCTGGCTAAAACCATATATTGATTTTAATACAGAACAACGCAAGAACTCAAAATCTGCTTTTGAGAAAGATTTCTTTAAACTACTGAATAATTCCATCTATGGTAAAACTATGGAAAATATAAGAAACCATGTTAACGTGCAACTTGTGAATGAACGGAAAAAGGCAGAAAAAATTGGTAGCATGTCCCACTTTTAAACGATTCCAAATTTTCAGTGAGAATCTTGTTGCAGTGGAGAGATTGAAAAACACCCTCACTTTGAATCGACCAATCTATGTAGGTTTTGTGATTTTGGAATTAAGTAAAATTCTGATGTACAACTTCCATTACAATATTATAAAGAAGGAGTACGGAGAAAATGCGTCATTGTTATTCACTGACACAGATTCTCTCACGTATGAAATTCGTACGAAGGATGTATATGAGGATATGAAACATCGCAGCGACATTTACGATACATCAGACTATCCCCCTAATCATCCTCTTTACAGTCAGAAAAACATGAAAAAAATTGGATGTATGAAAGATGAATTTTCATCTAAATTGGTTTATGAATTTGTGGGTCTGAGAGCAAAAATGTATTCCTTTTTATCGGAGACGGGGGAGAAGAAGACGGCAAAGGGCGTTTCACGTCACGTCGTGCGAAGTAAAATCCTGCATGAGAATTACAAGCACTGCCTTCAAAACCTGCAGTCTAGACGTGAGATTCAATATAGAATTGCAAGTGAAGAACATCATCTTTTCACTCTTCGCCAGAATAAATTAAGTCTCTCCCCATTCGACGATAAAAGGTATATTTTGGAGGATGGTATCCATACATTAGCGTACGGTCATTATAAAATAGAGGCTGATAAAGAAAAAGTAAATTAATATTTTTTTTGAATGTCATCATTGGTCAATGACTTCACAGTGGAGTTGTGGGAAGGGGCTGGCACCTGGGAATTCAAAAAAACCCCATGACTGTGAAACTGTGAAGAGAGACCCTCAGGTGTCAGAAAGCTGAGGCTTTCGATAAAAGCCCGTGTGTATGTGTGTGTGTGTGTGAAATTTTAATGAGTATTATGTTATTCTTTCCAATATTTTTAACAGTTATTTCTTTGCAGAAAAGCAGATATTTTGTTTCAGGGTTCGATCCTATATTTTGAATCATAGAACATTTTTTTTAATAAAAGAAACTTCTAAATAAATTATTTTCTTTTTTCGTCCCTAGAGGACGCCATGAGCAATTCCTAAATAGATTATTTTCTTTTTTCATCCCTAGAGGACGCCATGACTCCGTTGCCAAATTAAAAAAAACTAACTTTTAATGAAAAGCAGGAGGTCTACAACTCAATCAGCAATCTACGAACAACTCTCAACTCCACTCGAAACCACGCCTCCTAGTGTGATGACGTTGCCTTTGGCCCCGCCCTCTGTGTGACGTCATTGACCACGCCCACACCGCACACCGCGTGCGGGAACCGTATTTTTATCTACTAGGGTAATTTGAATTTCACACTTTTTTTTCAAATAATCGTCCCGTTAGACCCAAGTAACGGTTTTTTGTAACGCACGAAGCCCGTGCTGTCTGTTATTTTAGTTTTGAGTTAATAAAGGGTTATTTTGCACCCTTCTTCTGTGCTGTATTATTTCACGCCTGTGCGAGAATTCGCCAGGTTCACTATAGGATCTAAGTCAGTGGATGTGAAAAAGTATAGATAGATCTTACAATATTTGAGAGGCGTGACAGTGATAAAAGGCTTATGGGGAAACGAAATAAACAAAATAAAAAACAGACAACTGCGATATAAATCATACATCAAATTACTCCGTTTCAAATGGAGAGGTTTGCAACATATAAGACAGCTACAGCTGTGTTGACGCAGCAAAAACAGGAAGTAAAAATTATATGTTTATTCAATACTGGTAGTAAAAAAAAAAAAAAAAAAAAAAAAAAAAAAAAAACCATAAGCAAATATCTCGCAAATTAAAGTTGGAACTATAAGTCAGGTACATTTAAGTATTTTTCTTTTTAGTTCAAGAGCATAAAAAACAGTAACGAGTAATCGTGTGAAGGTAAATTTGAGAAGTGTTCATAATTCAAAAGAAGTAATAACTGGAAGCTATCGAAACTCCGTGTACTTTCGAAACGATAATTATAAAGAACCTGGTAGAGAAATTAGTGATAAGTGTAAACAAATGAAAATACAAATCGCCCGATGAATCTGATATTCTGAAAACTTAAGAATATCATTGTTAATTAGTTTACATAATTTTCCGACTATCCTTACTGAGAGAATGAAACGATTGGCTAGGATCTTTAGTGCAAATGAAAACGAAACTTGAATATGTGTTGAACGGATCGGACGCCTCAATCAGATCAAACCCTAGGGAACTTAAAATTAATGAAGACTATTGTTCGAAATGAAAACATAGAAGAAACGGAGATTTAAAAGAAAATATTTGATTTAGAAACTTTGGGAATCGCGTGCAATGATAATTGAAAAGATGATGAGATTCAAAAACCTTATGAAAATGGTTGACGGTCGCTATGGAGTCAGTCTTCCGTGGAATGAAAATGCTGATTCATTATCTGTTAATTATGTCAATGCTGAAGGACGTTTTGAAAATTTAAGAGAAATCCTTCCTTAATCAGTATAAGGAAATTACTTCGAAGTATGCAGCAGAACAGCCAAGAAAGTTGAATTCAGTACGACTGAAAATAAAACTAAAATTTATTATATGCCTCATCAAGCAGTAATTCGTGAAAATAAATTAATTACAGGTTAGGTTAGGTTATTTAATTACGGCAAAGCCTCGAGGGCTATCTGCCTAATAGGAGGGATGCCTTCGTGGAGGACTTTCTAAGGGAAACTGGCTCGTATACACGTTACACATGAGGAAAACCACGAAAACACTCATGCAGCCAGCCCGTTCCGCGGGATTCGAACCTCGGACCGAACTACCAGTGTTCAGCGACTTTACCGCTCGGCCGCTGGTGGGCCCTAAATTAATTACAAAAATGAGAATAGTTTTTGATGCATCTTCTAGTGCAATGAACTCTTATTTTCCTTAACGACTGCATGGAACCTAGTCCGAACTTAACGCTAGATTTGTTATGTTTACTTCTGCTATGCGTTCTTGCAAATAACATTAGCACCGGAAGATAGAGATGCTGTCAGAATTATGTGGATTAAGGATGATGCGAACATGGAACCAAAAGTACTACGAGTTTAGTTAGTTTTGGACCATTCTTGCAAAGGATTCATACAGGAGCATTCTTGCTTTTGGATCACTCAAGTCCATTCTTGCAAAATGCAAGACTGAAACACCACGTAAACAAGTACGAAAGGGATTACCCAGCCGCGTTCCAAATTCAAAATAACAAATTATATGTTGACATCGTATCCATAGTTTGCAAGATAAAGAATCTGTCATTGGAAGTACATCGGCAGGTGAAGTTTGGTTTAAAAGAAGCCGGATTTAACACGAGGAAGTGGCGAACAAATATACAGCTACTTGAAGATCGATTGAATGAGAAAACGGTTTCTGATACTTCGCCCTATAAAATACTTGGATATTGCTGGAATTATGGGAAAGATTGTATAAGCATTGACAACGAAAAACTGAACAATAAGAAGAATGCATATGAATTCAAATCGTCGAAAAGAAGTGTGAAAAGAACTGTTGGAAAGCTGTTTGACCCAACTGGACTTATTTCTCCATTTACAAATGGAGCGAAAATGATACTTCAAGAAACCTGGAAAAGAAGACTAAAATGAATAAATCCTTACCACCGGATCTAGTGAATGCATATCAAGACTAGTGTGAAGAACTGCACTACTTGAACGAAGTGACATCACCACGGCCTTCACTTAAACAAAAGAAAATGACGTACTAACTAATTGGTAGCTTCATTGTTTTGTAGATGCAAGCAAAAGAGCTACAGAGCTGCAATTTATTTATGTTACAACGATTTAGTTAAAAAAACTTAGTTTAGTTTTAATAAACTCAAAATCAAGAGTTGCAGCAGTGCATGAAATTAAATTACCTAGGTTGGAACTTCTTGCAGCTCTTGTAGGTGCGAGATTATTTTGATACATTCGAAACAACTCGGAACTTCCTCAAATTTTATTTCTGGTCCGACTCGATGATTATTCTTCACTTGGATAAAAGGTAATTCCCGAAAACTGAAAGTGTTTGTAAAAAATAGAGTTGAAAAAATAGAAACGCTTTCTAATCCAGAATAGTAGAATCACTGTTTCGGAAAAGAAAATCCCGCGGATTGCCTGTCTAAAAAAGAACTTCTTTTTTCTTTTCTTTTTCTTTTTTTTTTTTTTTTTTTTCTTTTCTTTGTAGGAAATGAATCAGAGACTCTTTCTAACATACGATAATTCGGCAAACTTAGCTACGTATTACGAATAACAGCTCGGATTCAGAGATTTGTTTACTATGCGAAGAATTCACACGATAAAAAGAACTTCAGTATTGGATCAGAACACAGACGGAGTACTTTCTTCAAGAATATTTGGCTTAGAGAAAAACCACTGCCAACAAATTCAATATTTAGGCCGTTTAACCCTATTCTAGATGGAAAAGGAATAATTTTAATAGGAGGATGTCTCTTCAGTAAGCAAATATTTCGCACCAAGAAAACACGTGCAGTTTTGTTGCCAAGTACTTTTCCCTTGTCTGATCTTATCATTAACGTCTGCAACGAAAAAGTAAAAACATGGAGGTATAGCTGAAACAGTGACCGATCTTGGAGAGAAAACGTGGATTTTAACAGCCAGACATAGAATTAAGAGTATTATATATTATACATATATATGCATTTTATGCCAGAAATTACGGCCTAAGCCAGTGACTCAGATTCCTGCACCACTGCTAAGTGAGACATTGTCAGAAACATATCCTTTTTAAGCTACTGGATTGGATTATTTAGAGCCATTATACATTAAAGATCAAGATACCATGAAAAAGACCTAAATACAGCTCTTCATTTGTGCCATAATCAGAGCGATACAATTAGAACTGATTTTTGACTTCACTATTCAGACATTTCTACAAGCTTTTTGAAAATTTGTTGGAAGAAGGGGCATTTGCAGTGTAATCTACAGTGATAATACAAGGACATTCCATAAGGAAAACCGAGAACTGAATCTGCTGCGGGAAATCACAAACGGTGAAGAAGTGCAAAATTTATTTGGGAAGTTAGCTATCAAATAAAAATTTATCGTCGAAAGGGCAGCCTCGTGGTGTGGTTTTTGAGAACACTTAGTGAGGTCAGTTAAGATGTCTCTGAGAAACTTAGAAAGAATATCAGTTTCATTTGAAGAACTGGAAGTTATATTGATAGAGACAGGCTATAATCAACTCCAGGTCTCTCACTAATGTTTTTAGTGATACAAATGAACCAGAACCGCTAAACCTGGACGTTTCTTGGTCGGACGATAGTTATTGACTCTTCCTCAAGCAAGTATTCCTTCCTCTGAATCCCAACTTTTGAAAATAAGAAGACACCAAGAAGCTTTACTTAATCGAGTTTGGAAAAGAAAGGCATCATACCTTCTTGAGCTTAGGTCAGCTCACTAATCACGACCATTCAACCGGCTCACAGAACATCGAGAGAATACTGTAGTTTTGTTAAATGATGATAACGCGCCTACATTTTTACGGCGAATGAACATTGTGACATAATTGCATTCTAGATGTGATGGTCGTATCCGTGCGTACACCGCAAGGCTTTCGAATGCAACTCACATTACAAGACCTGTGCAACTGGTTATGCCCTCTGGAACTCTCAATCAACACTTAACGTTTTCGTCTCCAGACGAACTTTCGGTACCGGAGGATGTTGCGAACTCTAGCCGATATATGGCGCTGATACATCATAAATATTTTTAAAAAAAATTTTAAGTTTAGAATGTAACTAAGATGTATTGTGTATCGTCAAGAATGTACAGCTGTCCCACATTATATAAT